GAAACTGAGATTAAACTCTGAAATTGCTGTACTAAATTGATAAACTATCTGATAAATAAAACCTCCTGCATGAATAAGTCACATGATAAATGTGAGCATAGAAATTTTTTTTGTTGTGCTGTCGTGCTTCGTTCGGATTCGAGAAATGAAAGTGACACTGCCACTTTCTATAAATATTTTAGAAAACTGAAAACACAAGAGCACCCTTCGGAAAAGCCAGAACGACGTTTGATTTGTTTTTTTGATCCTTTGCAAAATGGTGAGTGAAATTGAAAACTGTTCATGCCGCATGTCAACCTATTCTTATGATAAAATACGCCCGCGATTCCATACAGGCCCGTAATGAAGAGAAAGCACAGTCAGTATCGCTAATTTACACAAACTATTTCGAGAACAATTTCTCATATTTACACCGGTTACATTTTGTAGATCTATGCTTTACCGTTTTCGCGAGGCTCAAGCTGTCCAACTTGGTTTGGTAAAGCAAAAAGAACGCCGACCTTACCTGGCTTCAGACTGTAATAGCCTAAAGGACGCGGAGAAATGGCGTCAACAAATCATTAGAGAGATCTCTCGAAAGGTTTCAAAGATTCAAGACGGTACGATACTTAAGACAACACTAACGTCGCTCACGCTTTGTAAACGAGATTAACTTTGTTATAACTATGATAGCTGGCCTTTCGGATTATCAAATTAGAGATTTAAATGACGAGATAAACAAATTAATGAGAGAAAAAGGGCATTGGGAAGATCAAATAAAGAAACTTGGTGGTCCGGATTACAGAGTAAGAGGCTCCCATGCGTATCTCTTTCACCGATCCTTTCTCAAACCAACTCTTTCCCATATTCCATATGTCCTTCCTCAACCATCTTCTACTTGCAGAGGATTGGGCCTAAGATGATGGATCATGAAGGCAAAGAAGTACCCGGGAACCGCGGTTACAAGTATACCAAGAATATTCAATAAACTTTTAGCATTTTAATTCCCAAGGATCAATCATACGAATTTTCATATTTCCGTAGGTATTTTGGACGCGCTAAGGATCTACCCGGAGTAAGGGAGTTGTTTGAACAAGATGGTACTATACAGATTATTTTGAGGGGGAGATCATTAAGCATGTTTTGCTAACATTACCAATAATAACCCAGCACCAACACCACAAAAGCGCACAAGATTTGATCTATACAAAAATGTAGACGCGGATTATTATGGATATCGTGATGAAGAAGATGGAATTTTACTCGAGTATGAGGTCGAGAAAGAGCATTCGCGCAAGTATCGTGTTTGTCAACTATCGTATTTGTTTGGTTAATCAACTAGATTTTATATCTCTTGTGCATTTTTCAGTTATTGAGGAAACATTGAAACAACCAGATAAAGCATTGCCCAAAGATGAGTCCATACGGAATAAAAGAGAGGGTGCATCACGGGTGGAAAACGAAAGCGAAATAATAGACATTAACAATCTATTGACAGGGAAGTATGTTGCACATGTGGCTGTGCCGTCTCAAAAAGAAGTAGAGGAATACCTAGTGCGGAGGAGGAAACGTCAAATCCTCGATCGCTATGTTGCTGACGATGAGGAACAAAGTTGACCGAGAATGCAAAATGTTTGATTTATTTCCTGCATATTAATATATTAAAAACGCGTAAATTTGATGAGAATGCAAATGAGTAAAAAATATTCGTCATGATGTTAAATAAAATCCAAGGATGTTATCGCGTGTTTCAAGAATGCCCAGTGACCCAAATTTGATGAGAATGCAAATGAGTAAAAAATATTCGTCATGATGTTAAATAAAATCCAAGGATGTTATCGCGTGTT